CCACATAGGACATCCACTTCCTCTGTCAAGAGTACACAAGTCAATGGGCTCTCTTGCTAGACCCTCCAAACAAGTTCTCAAAAACAATGGCATAAATCAAACTTTCCCTTGAGAGAAGGCACCGTGAAAAGAACCCACATAATAAGTGAACATGACAGCTGACCTGGTGATGTTTCCATATCCTCAGGGTCAACTTTGGTCTTGTAGCCCCGGGACCTTTCTGCAACACCAGCACAGAACCACCACATTCTCCTGTTTCTGAAATCAACAGAACCCTAGTGCAGCTCATGGGTCAGATGGACTCACTGTGTTTTGGTGTGGCTCAGATTACTGTATACAGGTTCCACATATGGGGTTTTTCAAGCAGTTTTTACCATCACAAAAGAAAATGAGAGTGTGTGATATGCTGTGGATTTAACCAAGGGCAGAAAGGGAAGGCAGAAGCAAATGGCTTGACTGTGGAAAGTGAACTTGGGCCTCTGAGATGCTAAGACCAGACCCGGTGGGCAGCAGCAGAATAGTCCTGTCTCTGAGGGTGGTCACCCTTTCTCCTTCCAAGCTGAATAGTGATGTCTCCTCCTCAACGACTCACCAGACTGTCTTAGATAGCTTTTAAGCCTTCCAAATATAACTGTGCCAGGAAAAAATAGTCAATTAAGTCAAACCTAGACATTCATGTGGAATAGGAGAATACTAGAGTACTGTAACTCTTTTTCTTTTTTTTATTTTATTTAAGGAGAAAAAAGAAAAAAAACAGAAAAAGGGTACAAGTTATACAGAATTTCAGAAAAAATAAACAGTAGGAAATCACTAGTTAATTACATATTGTCATCTTAGAAATAGCTGTTGAAATTACAAAATTAAAGCATATCGAGGGGACTTTCAAACAGTGAAACTGCAAACAGTTTTGTTCAATGATTCAACAAAACTCAGTAATATGGTTATCTATCTTATACACTTAAATATATATGCAGTTATATCTTTTCTTTTTCAAGTTCAAGACGCATGTTCACTTATCAGAGGACCATGGACCTTACCCAGTCCATTTTCATGACCTTAAATTGCCTACATTTTAACAAAATTGATTTTAAAAAAAACTACTGGAATATCTGAGAAGGTACCAAAGCAGGGTTTTCTGAATTTGTACATACGCATGTGCACGTGTGTGTTTGCGTGTGTGTGTGTGTGTGTGTGTTTTGAGGGTTTTTTTGTAATTTCATTAAGACTCATACTGTATTATTTGTGATTATTCAAATGATACTTCATGCTTGCAAGACCTTCCAATATTTTTATTTTGAGCACGATGTTCAGAGACCCAAATGAGTACTTAACACACTGAAAAGACAAATGTGTTAATTCCATGAAATGTTTGTGCACAGACCTAGGGCTTTAGTGGATTCAGCCTTTCGGGTTATTGGCTGCTAGATCCCCGCTATTCCCAGCTTCCTCTGGGAGTCACCCGTTCTCTTAGCACAACTTCAGGCTCCTCCATGTTGCACATATTGCAGAATTTTCTTCTTTTAGTACTAATATTATTGCAGAAGAGAATTGATAAAATAGGAGTAGAGCTGGAAAGGAAAGCACAACTAATGATCCATTGTGTGTGAGACAAACCACTGCATGCTTCCTCCTGTATGAAACACATAAAATAATCAGATTGTAGATGCCAGGAGTGGGCTGGTGGTCACCAGGAGCTGGGAACACAAGGAAGGGCATAAAGACTTCAGTTAAACAAGATAAAGGATTTCTAAAGGTCTGTTACACAACACCGTGCCTGCAGTTAACAATACTGTATTATAATACACTTAGAAAATCATTAAGAGGGACAATTTCACATTAAGCAGTCGCTACAATAAAATGAAACTAAAACAAAGGCTCTATTGTTGGAGAATTCGAATCTTCCCAATGTATTCCTTTTTCTGATCATCTGGGACTCCTCACAACAAGGTCTCCACTTACCTTCTAATTGTCACATTAAAAAAATTTATATCCTCCTTTTAGTGGACTTCACTGTGAAATCTGCTCGTGACAGCCATCTGCTCATTTGGAAATCCTTCCTTCCTTGTTCTCTCACCCTCTGGCTGCCTTCTTTCTGAGACTCCACTGTGGTCCTCTCCCTCTCATCTCATTTCAAAATGCTGTAGCAATCGAACAGATTCCATCCACGCTGCTGCCACTTCCAATATTTCCTGGGTTGTCCTGATGGTTGCTAAAACAGAATTTTCAGCTCTGTACTCCTAAGATCTGTGTGCCTACAGGCACTTTTATGTTTTATGTATTAAGCTCATCATCTTTTTCAATATTCCCTGGGTTCTGAGCTTCCTCACCATTTCCTGCCTTGACAAATCACACCAGCATCCTCTTGATCACACAGCCCAGAAGCCTCCTGCTTACTTCTACCCCTTTGCACCAACACTATCCCACCAGGCCCAGTTATACTTCCCAAGTCTCTTTCCTTTTTTACTTACTTTTGTTTTCTTCTAGTACTGCTTTGTAATTTTTCTGCTCCATTAAAAAGGAGCATCTGTAGCTAGCTATCAGGAGGTGGAGGCAGAAGTATTACAAGCTCAAGTTCAGTGTGGACAACTTTGTGAGACATTGTCCAAAAAACTCAAAAAGGTTGAGGTTGGGGATGTAGTTGCATGTGGAGGCCCTCAATTCAGTCCTAGGGAAAGAAAAAGAGGAGAAAAGGAACCATCACATCTGGATTCCCTGACATCATCTCACAGAAATTTATCTAGTAACTTATTGTTGATCTTTTAAAACTCGAATCTGACTATAAGAATTCATTGTTTGCTTCAAATAGTTTAGTGTTTGCCCATGATTTTCAGGATGAGATTCTACTTTTTAAATTGGAGGAAAATGAGAATTTTCAAAAGAGAATTAAGCAGTGCAAAAATAACATCAGCTCTGGGAAAGGTATTTTGCGATGTGATCCTTACCGATACCTACTGTCAACTCTCCGCAGCCCCCTTCGACCCTGTGTGCCCACGTTCCTGCAGACACACTGTTCTGCCCTCTGCCAGAGTTTTGCCCTCTGTCTTTTTACCTTACTCCCTGCTCTCTTTGGATGGGAGTCTGTTGTGATTCAGATCTAGACTATTCCTCAAAAGTCTCATCTGTTCAGCAGCAAGGCTATTGGAAGATGACTAGATCATGAGATGCTGTAACCATCAGTGGATTGATCTGCTGATGAGTTCTTAGTTAATATGGTATTTAGAATCGGTACCTAATGAGAGAAGTTGTACCTTTGGGGGTTACATTTTCCTCCCTGGGTCATCTTTTCTCTTTCTTCTTCCTGACTTCTCTGAACTGCCCACTATTTATTGGGTCAGCAGCAGGGGAGCATGCAGGGACGTCCAGGGGACAGCTGAGGCAAAAGGTTTGATAGTGAGCAAGGCCTTGTGAAGACGGAGCAAAGACATTCCACGCAGTAAATGCGTGCTTGATGAGAGAACCCGTCTTATCTCTAAGGTTGGTAGTTGTTGCCTTGGAACTCTGAGTGAGATTTAGTGCTCCCTGTCGCAGGGTTATCTAGCTTCAGAGGTATCCCAGTGTCACTGGCCACTACACGCCTCTACCATGACAGCCAGCACGGGGGTTTTGTTTCTGCATGCCAGCCTCTGGCTCCTCAAGTGAGTCACTTAGACCTGGGACAGATGCATATGTTAATATACAAATCCAACTGATTAATTTTGAAGCCTGCTCACCACCACCTCAGCATGCTTTCCAATACAGCTTTCCTCCACCCTTCTGATATCCCTGCCCTGGCACCAGCTGATGATGGACTTAATCCCCCCAAACCATGGGCTGAATTAAGTCTGTCTTCAAGTTGGATTGTCATAGCAACAGGAAAGCTGCTAATGCAGAACACTTACCTCTCTCACAGTCCTATTCATCCAGAGCATGCCATTAAGGCTCTGAGACCCTTTACCACCTCTGAAAGTATTTTCTTACTGACCTCCTTTCCCTAGACAACTCTTCTCCATGTTCATAACACTTATTAAACTGTACTTTCAATCTGTATTTTCCATCTCCATCATTCTACTAGGTTTCTCATAATGTTTGACATATAATGGAACCCTAATGGGTATTTGATTGGATGAGTATATGAATGAACCAGTGAGTATTAGGCTAAATAACCAGGAAAGCAATGCACAAATTGGTTCCAGGATCCCTATAGGTACAAAAATAAATAAATAAAACTACATGTACCCAAGTCCTCACATAAAATAAATATTTATATATAACCTGTGCATCCTCAGCCTGTGGATGAAATTATCTTGAGATTACTTCTAACATCTAACATAAATGCTGTGGAAACAGTTGTTACATTATGGTGCTTAGGGAATAGCTCCAAGAAAAAAGGTTTGTAGACTTGTTCGGTACAGACATAATTATTTTTCAAATATTTGCAATTCATAGTTTGTTGATGCCGTGGATGTGGAGGCTTTTGATATGAAGGACCAACTATGTGGAGAGCTTTGTTCATTGTATTGTTACTCTTTTGGTGACTTCTGCTCACACTTCTGGTTTGGGAGCCAATCGGGCGAGTGACTGAAAGAATCTCTTAACTTTTCTAAACTATTTCTTTCTGCATAATATTAAGAGGTTATATGTAGAAACGATGGATGTCCACAGTTAGCTCTACTAGTCTATGGTCTCAGTGACCATCAGTTTGCTTAACTGTGTATCTTAGAGTCAAAACAAGGTAGCCTGGCTCCTATCTGGCTTTCAAATTTACTCCTAAATTACAGACGCTTGAATGTCAAAGTTTCTTCCAAGGAAAGAACTACATATATCAATAGAAAAACATGGATTTACCATTGCTTCAGATTTCTAAAAAAAAAAAAATCAATATTCATCTTATTGAACTAAATTTACTTTAAGTGCACTGCTCAGTGTCTCTGAGGACTGTGCCAGTTCTGGAGAAGGGGGAAGAGGCTGGCATGGCAATGACTATATCCAGGGGCCTTTCTGACCATGCTTTCTCCTCGCAGATGGGAGTCCTTATACTTGGTGGGTTGGCAAAGCCAACGAGAAGCACTACTACTGGGGAGGCTCAGAGCCCGGGATTCAGAAGTGCGCCTGTGGCATCGAGCGCAACTGTACAGACCCCAAATACTACTGCAACTGCGACGCGGACTACAAGCAGTGGTGAGTGCCCCTGACCAGCGCCCCTGCAAGTCAGACCACTAATTAACCCAACAGGAATGTTGCAAGATTGCTGAAAGAATGAGATAATAGGTTAGAAAGGTTTGGGACTAACCCAGTTGACAAATGTCAGGGACTACTGAAAAATATAAAAGCCACACAAGGTCATTGCAACAAGGGTATGCATTTAGGAAGAGATTTGACACATAATTGATGTGCTCATATTTTATTCAGTGAGGAAAATAATGAGCCATGTTGCTGACAGTGATTCGCATTATAAAATGTACCCTGCAACAATGGAGGGGTGGTTGGGGCAGGAAGCCTACCTGCAGATAGGGGAGCAGCCGTGGGAACCCATCCCCTCCTGCACCAAGGTCGCCTCCTTGTATGTCCAATTTGATTGCCTGGACCAAAAAAAAATTAATTTAAAAGAAAAGGTAGGGGGAAAATAAGAAAGAAAGGGGGGAAGTGGTTCTTTGCTCTTATCTCCAGCATGTGCTTCCCTGTCTTCTTTTCTTTCTTTTTTAAATTGTTCATAACCTTGTTACCAAGCAGTTTTAGAAAGATCTATTTTAGGTTGACTTCATCCCTCTGCTGGCTTTTGATCTGCTCACAGTGAATGACCAAGTCTGTGTCTCTCGCAGATAAAGATAAAATCACCTGTCATTCTCAGAGAAAGACAGATAGACAGAGCCAGGGGTTTAGGGAAGAGAATATAAACCAGAAGCACATTCCAGCCCTGCCTCCCCTTGATTTTAGGAGCCCAGAAAGACACTGCATGCTGTGAGTCTGCTCCCCACAGCTGCAGGAAGAAGAGCCAGAGTTCATATAACCACCCACTCACTCCCCTGCTCAGCTCACCCCTGTGTAACACCTCCTGCTGGGCGAAGCACAGGACAATCTCCTTCCACTCACTGCCCCAGACCTAACTCTAAGAACACGACATTGTATGATTTTTCTGGTAGGAGGTCCATTTACCACCCACGGGTCTTATGTCTTTTAGTTACTGAAACAAATTTCAAAGCTTATCTACCTAAGTGAATTATAGACTCTGTGTAATATGTGTGTAAAGTACCAGTAAATAGCTGTAATTACACTTTAATTGTGGTTGATTGTGGAGAGAAGATTGTGATATTTAATTTTAATTTATTTCTTTGAAAGAGGTATTTATTTCTCTGAATGAAGTATTTATGTACAAGAGGCTGCTAAACTATATGGGAAATGTTTGAATTTTTGAAGTTTTTACAGTAAAAGACACATTTCTGTTAGCCCCCCTTAGATACTCTGTGTCACATGAGCACACTTGTCCCCTCATTCCTTCCACTTTCTGAAGCAGTTCTGCAAGTTCTCTTTTAGGAGTGTCTTTATGAGGTACGATCAAAAATAAAGTATGTTGTTGGCGATCGCTGTCCAGCAAAAAGATCAATGAAAACACGAAGCTGTGTCTTCATCCATCTTGTTGAGTGGATCTGGCATCTTGCACCTCTGTATCTTCCCCTAAGTCAAAATGGCCATGAAAAGTAAACATTTTCACTCAAGTCAGGATATTGAGGCTGCTTGGACACCACAACTGAAGACACTTGTGAAAGAAGAATTCCAGATCTGCTTCAGAAAATGGCAAAATGGGTAGGAATAGTGCTTTTAAGGCAAGAGGTGGTATTCTGAGGGAGCTTAATTGCAATGTGTCTACCTCTGTGGGTGTAGATGTACTTGCCACACGAACACTGGGCCTCCGGGGATTGGAAGGGTGTCACTTTCAGGTTAATCATTCGTTCCTTCAGTCATTCTTTCCATCAGACATTTACTCAGCAAAACCTGACTGAACACTACATCCCATTCATTCCTCCCAACCTTGGGGATCAAACACTGAATGCAGGAATCTCTGGCTTGACTCATACTCTTGGTGTCTTTTTTGACCAGTGATGAGGCACCAACTAGTCTAGAAGGTTCTCTCTGATCTGGCCTTTTGTTCCACATCAATTCCTTCAGAAAAGTTGCCATTAGGCACAGCCTCCCTAACTAGAACAGGTGGAAACCTTGTCCCAAGGAGTCATTCGTCCAGATAACCCAGGTTCATGTCACCACCCTCATTACAGAGGAGTGCAGAGGTGACAGGAAGAGGATGACCGGGCACCAGCAGGTACCTCCAAGCAAAAATCATTTTGATCAGACATTGTACAGAGCGATGGTCCTTGTTCTCGAGGAGTTCAAGCACAAGTTGAAGGAAAATACATTCATGTGGACCACAGTATTTCCAGTGCCCTGAGTTAGATGGGCTCAGATAAGGGACCAATGAGAAGATATCTGCGTAGTCTTTGAAAAGCATCACAGCCTGATGGTATGGTAGAATCAGTGAAGCTGGGAATACTTCTGAGTTTTGAGAAATAATATCTATAAGAATTAACGATGCAAAAAGAAAGGAGAAGTGTAGGCAGACTCACTGTGAAACACCTCAGAGTAAGGCCATCTGCGGGCTCAGGACATGGTTTGAGGAGATAAACTGTGAGGCCAGCCTTAGAAATGCTTAGTTGGAGGTCCCCACCTAGTGTCTGTGCCTCAGAGAATCAGACAGCATCAGGAGTGAGAAGACAGGGGAGATGTGCAGACTATAGAAAAATGCACTTGTCTCTGAAACACTCCAAAACCTTCCTCTGGGCAGCTGTGACAAAACAGTAGCACCTCATAGACTCTGAAATGACAGAGTCTAGTGTCTGCTGAGCATCGGATATTAAGGTTTAATTGCAGCATTGGCATTTTGCAATAAATAAGAAGGTTTGGGATTCTAATCTAAGCACTAGGTCTCTAAAAGGTTCGCTGTTGCTGGCACAAGCACTCTGAGCAAAGAGCAAATTGAAAAGCATACTGAATCTGTAATAAATAGTTGTATTAAAATATCCTTCTTTATTTACCCCAAGAGAGCAAGCTTTTGGAGATGTCACACCAGCCCCTAGCATAGGCTTCCCCTACATGGGTGTTGTAAATATTTGGAGAAGTGGTATTGCTTCAGCAGCATCTTCCAAAGTGCTCAGGAACCAAGGAGCTTGAAGCTAAACAACTTCATGTCTAGATGTCTAAGTTCACAGATTCACCAGAGCCTTTTCCTTTACTTGCTTTTTATTTTTAAAACGGCATAGAACCCAGAGCCTTTGCACTGAACTATATTCCCAGCCCTGTTTAATTTTTTGTTTTTAAGTTTGAGACAGGGTCTTGCTAGTCACTAAGTTGCCCAAGCTGAGCTCAAACTTTCTGTCTTCCTGCCTCAGGTCCCTAAAGGCTTGTGATTTTCAGATATGCACCAGGAAGAGGTTTTAACCTCTCTGAAATTTAAGTTTGTTTTCTGTATAATAAAAATAAACCTTGGTTGGGATATTTCTGTGGGAATGAAATGGAATATAGAAAATGAAACATTCGGAAAGTTACAGAGTATGAAAGGCACAGTCATTTGCAATTCTTAATTGTGCAATTCTTCCCGCAGCTCTTAATGATTACAAATGAATCATAAGAAATGAAACCTGACTTTGGGGAATGCATCCCTTCATGCTCTTGACTTGCTGTGCGGTGGACCTCAACTAAATTCTGCTTCTCTGCCTGCCTGGTGTTATGGATTAGGGTGTAAGAGTGACTCGTGCATAAGCAGCTATCAAGGGACATTGTGCACCAGTCCCAGCCTGGTCATTGCTCAGAAAGAGGTGCCAGAGCCAGATGATGCGGAATGCATCAATCCAACCTGTCTCCCTCCCCACTGGGCAAGAGCAAAAGCCACTTTGTCAGTGGAGGAAATAGGCCCCAGGGTCCCAGCCAGTCTGGGGACAGGAGCCTGCTGGCCAGCATTGCCCAGGAGCCGACACAGCCCCTTCTGGCTAGGAGGTATGAGGGCCACCGACCTGAGAGCCCAGTGCCCCAAGACAGCTGCTGCTCGGTCCTTTTCAATGGCCTGAGAGGAGAGCTGAGCCCCTGCAGCCCAGAAAACCTCATGCACATGAAGCCACAATTGTTGGGACATAAGGTTAAGAATGATAGTTCCATCGACTCATCCTTTCAGACTGTCCAGTAAGAAAGCTCCTTTTTCTGATAATCTTCTCTCAATCACAATCACTTGAGCACAATGGCATGCAATCAGATGGGGCCAAAGTAGTCCCCTGCTATTCTCTCTCCACGGGACTGAACTCAGAGCATTGGACTTACATTTTCTCATCAGCATGATAGAGGCAGCCAACACTTGCCAAGTTATGTGAAGATACTGCCATAAATCCTTGTTTAAATTTAGACTAGGATGTTTTATTTCTATTACTGTTTGAATATTGGATAAGAACCCTAGCTAAGCTCATTACAAATCTCTTAGAATACAGATGCATGAATTGGGACCCAGGAAAAAAAACTAAATTACTTTCCAAAAATCACATTGGAAATAACAAAACAAAAGCCTGGAGACCCATATCTCCACACTTCCTGGTCATGGCTTTTCTATAATATCATGGTCAGTTTTCCCATCGTTTTATCTTTTGAACAATTTGTGAATCTAATGTTTTAAGTAGCTATTTGTAAATGTCACGTTTCAAGCTTCAACCACAGACCACAAGTGATATGTTGGTTTTTGTTTCTTTTAAGAACTCTAAAAGTTAAATTGAACACTTATTCTTATTTACTGTAGGAAAGTACATAAAAATGGAGCCTGGGTAAATAAGACTGTAGCTCGGGGCATGATTGGGTCTCACACTAAAGCTGCTGTGGGCAATGAATACTATAACCATCTCAATAATTGTCTGATTATCTATGCTGTGCAAAGTTTTGCACAGTTATTTCTGGGATTGAATGCAATTTAACATTTATGATTTACTATCCACAGCAATAGTCAATATTCCCACCTACTGTGCCAGAATCCTAATTAAGCGAGCCTTGGTCTCAGCTAAGTGGCCGCTGCTGGGTAATTCCGGGGCTCTTACAGCCTGACTCCATAAGCTAAATGATCACATCTGAAATTAGCAATTCCAAAACAAAATGAT